CAAGAAAGTAAGATACAAAAGAGCAGGAAGAAACCAAGACAAGAGATTAGCATCATACATACACAAGATCAAGGGGAAAAAGAGCAAGAAAGATGAGAGAGCATTTAAAAGTATTTCCCCACAGCCCAGGTGATAATCGGATTGAAACCAACAACAAACACAGCATGAGATTGATTATTAAGAAGTTTAAAAAGGCAACAGTGGTATGGAGACTGGTTATTGCCAGTGTTAAGAGAGAGAAATAAACTTGTTTTAGGCACCAGAGACCGGAGCACTGCCCCTTCCTCCCAGAGGAGGACAGACTCTGGAAGAGGAAGCAGGCCCTAGGGCAGCTGCCATTGATATGTGTAGAAGGAGTCTCCTCAGACCAATCTCAGCACATTTTCCCCAACTCTCCCCAAAATCTTTGTGCCTTAGACTCCAAATGAGAGCTATGGGATGCTACTGGGAGAAAGGGGTGATCAGAAATAGGAAGACTTGCCCTTGTGCACACTGTTCAAGAGCAGCTGCTAGGAAAGTGGGGGGCTGGGTAGAGAATCCCATTCCTCTGTGGAGAAGGCACAGTGTAATTCCTGAAGGTGAGGAAGAGAACACACACACCCCAGGAGAGGTATCAACAAGGTCCTCACCACCCACAGCAGCCTCACTTTAGCCCTATTTATTTATTTATTTATTTATTGATATTAAAGGAAACTGAGGGATAGATCATGCCTCTTCTTGCTCAGCAGGGACAAGGCAGGCTGGGGTTGCGATAATGAGGAAGGGAGACAATGGGACAAAATGCTCATTTCCCTCAAATGAACATTGTGGAGACAATCTTTCTGGGTTTGGGGAAATCAAATTGGAGAAGACCTAGGAGGTGAATAAAACCAGGGACTCCCATTTTTTTTCCCCCTTTCCCAGATTCCGATCTAAGGCAAGTGAGCTAAATTGGCAAGAGGGAGTAGGAATTTAAGCTTAAGGCTGCTTAATGTCCTCCTGGGGGCTGGTGTTTAGGGAAGACAGACAAAGAAAAGAAACAGGTCAACCTCAAAGCTGGTCTCCTCATCCTCCTAGATGAGGTCTGTACCCCAGGAGTAGAGCCAAGAGAGGCACCGCAGAGCACACAGGCTCCTAAACAAAAGTAATAACCTACCCATAGTTTATCAGCAGTTTTCAAAAGCAATGTTTTCCGGGGTTGGAGAAGTGCCATATCCTCCTCCCTTTCCCCAAAGCTACTGCTGCCACCTTTCATCCTTGCACAGTAAGTTACTGGCTCTCTTCTAAGGGAGATGAGACTCTGAGATTTCACATTCCTCCTCCCAACTCCAAGAGGGCACTTGAATAGGGGGAAGGAGAGCTATGCAAAGGGCCCCTCACTTGAGGCAGCTAGACTATCCTCATTTTCCTTGGTACCTGGATCAGAACTCCTTTGATCTGATCCCAAGGTCCAAAAGGCATCAGGGTACTTACAACTGAATGAAAACTTTAGCACCAGAGCTCCCCCAAAGCATAACAGGGGCCTGATTAATACCCCCAGAAGAACCTCTCAAAAAGCGTATAAATTTATTGCGTCCTAGCAAAGATCTGCAGCTTCCAGTATTCACACAATGTGAAGATATTAACAATACAAAATATATTCTGAAAGTCAAACATCTGCAGTTCATAGTGCTTTCTCAGATTTGTTAAAAAAAAAAATACAATGCTTAGTTTCCTATATTGGATATACAAAAGCAAAAATATATATATGTATATAGTAGAAATCAATCAATCAGCCATAGTAATTTACAGCCTTTGTCTCTAACCCTCCCCCAGTCATAATCTTTACCCAACACTTCAGTCTATACTTTCTGGGATCAAGAGTTCTATTCTGAATTCTGAGAAATGTCTGTTAAACTGCATTCTACATGGCACCCATAAAGAGGGTGCCCGCTGGGAAGTCCCTGAAGGAAGACGATGTGGGTTGTTACTGCTCCGGGTAAAAAGTGAGACAGTCAAATGATAAGCAGATACATGTGAATGGGCAACCTGAAAGGACAAGGGAATAATATTACCACTTCTCTGGGCATCCCTGACCCAAGGTTTGGTCATTAGAAAGTTACAAAAAAGAGCAACTTGTGAAAAAAAAAAAACTGAGAATCAATATGCCTGTCAGTTACACTAATTTCTTCCGGCAAAAAGTTCAGGGAAAGGGACTTTCAGCAATAAGCTCCTGACTCACGGAATGTGGGCTAACTTCCTGTGGAAAAGACTGAGTGACTTACTACTGCTGGGAGACAAAAGCAGTAGCGGCTTTAATTTTAGGGCCAAACAAGATACTGAATCCTGAGCTTCCTTGGTGAGAAGGAACTAGGACAAGTGGAAAGAACTGGATATAAATTTGCTTGTGCTAAGAGATGGGGGTTAAACCAGCATTCCATCCCAGAGAAAACCATCATCAAATGACCTAAAAGTGTGTAAGTTTCAGCATCATTAAGCTAGATTACATCTAGTAATTTCATTCTAGGGAAGATTCCATTCCATGAAATGTTCTAGCAAAACACTGCACACTCCAGTGAGTTATCTTGCCCCTTTCCTCCAGAAGATGCCTATGTACATGATTGCAGATATAAAATAGCATGTTCAGAGTTCTGCCTTTCAGTGGGAACAAAGGGTGTGATAAGTGGCTGGGCAGATAACTTTTACTTCAGTATTAATGCAATTTGATAAAGGGAAAGTTCCTTGCAATAGCTTCTGTGTTAAAAACAGTATTGTCTGCAGAGAAAGGACCAAGTGGAGTAAGCTTTTGTTCAGAATATTAACAGTTATTGTATTTCAGGTTAAACAACAACACAAACTTACCCAAACCCTAATTTGGATAGATTTTATATAAAATACATAGTAGAATCACGGCATCATCTATTTGTAGTCAAGGTAAATAGACTTATGAGAGGAATTAGGACTCTGCTATAGAACTGGATGTTGGTTTCACTTTCAAACACAAAAATAGTTTCTTCTTTTAAAAGTGCAGTAGAATATCCCCCATTCATAATTGTAACTAGTTTAGCAAAAGCAAAGCAATGACCTCAGGAACATACCCAGGTTTTAAGACAGATTTCTAGGTAATGGGCCTGAAAGGCATTTTGATCTGAATTTGATTTATTTTCCAACAATTTCAAATATAATTTCTCATCTGTGTGTAGATATATATACAAGCACGAACACACATTCACACACGGTCATACACAAACACTTCACTTTCTATCAGATTAGGGTAATTTTTTATTGCAGGTCTCTTATAGTATTGGCTAACAGAAAACCTATCCCCAATCTAACAGATTACACACATACACACAGCCATTTCCACACTTCCTCACAGTGAAAAGCTCTCTGACGAGATACCAGAAAGTCGAGAGAGACAATGTTTTAATGGCTGGGCCTTGAGGACAACTCTGGTTGCATTTAAATCTCAGTGCCAAATGCACTAAGAGTTCCCTGCCGCTATAATTTTTGGATCAGTCTCTTCAGGAATCAAGCCATGGAGAAAAGCAGGATGGCTTCCCCTGGTCTCTCCTATAAACCACAGTGGTAAGACAAGATTTCTTTTTGTTCTGGGCTATCATTCCCATGATCACGTGTGCTTCCTTTCCCCTTAGGAATCACCCTAGGAAGAGTTAAGGGAAAAGATCAAAGAACCATTGCCTTGCCACTGATCCATGCTCTGGAGTTCTGCAGAATGGAAATCCAGAACAGAGTCACTGGCTGATGCTCCTTAATAACATAATGGGAAAGAAACTACTGGAGATGTTCAAAAGAGGAAGTGTATTTCCTTTCAGAATGTGAACTCAGAAGCCTACACATCAAAGCTTAGAGCTACCTTGGAAGACAGTTGCACAAAGGTCCAAATACTCCACTAACTCCTGAAGTGAACTACTTGAGTCACTTCCACTTCTGAGCACATCATTCTCCTATTGAAAGCTCCTACCTATTATTTGACCATCTTTTCACAGTTTGGACAAACTGATCCCAGACTATAACTTTCAAAGGGTCTCTTGTACAATTCCATAGAAAGACTTCTGATTCCTGATGTTTAGAGCAGCTAATGAAGAGAGAGGTGCCTTTGACTCTCCAGCACCAAAAGGGTGCCTGCGTCAGTAGTATTTTGAACACTCTCTTCACAGCTACCTCAAGCATTTGCCTGAGCTTCAAGGCTTCTCCATTCTGCTGCTGGGACTAAGGACTTTATAAAAAAATGACAGAAGTGCCTCATCCAGGGACCACTACCAAAAACAAAACATGAAGTGATCAGGTGAGAGAAGGGGAGACAGAAAGGGTTGAGTCAGGGAAAGAGTGCAAGAAGCTGATCCCAAATTAAAAGACAAAATTAAGAAAGGAAAACATTATGTATGTATATATAAACTAAAAGCAGAGCATATAAATGCTTAATCTGGTGGGAAGCCAAGACAACATCTATAGAATATCTTGATGTGTCACAACAAGGCTCAGCCATAAGGAAATAAGGCAATATAAAAAAAATGACCAAGGTATTTTGGTCACAGAATGGTCTCCTTCCTCCTCCCAGCCTACCCCTGCAAATGCATCTCTATATATCTTTTATATATATATATATAATATAGAATCTGTTTTTGTTAAAAAGTATTTCAATGATCATATATATTTATCAAGGCATGATGGCTTTAGGAAAGGGGGGGATCCATCATGGGGGAGCTGAGAAGGGAAATGCAGGAAGGGGAGGCTGGGGTAAGAAGTGTTAAGAAACTGTTTGGGGTCAAACAAATGCTCATCAAAGGTGGCACCAACAGAATTTTCACTATGTTTCCCACTTCAAGAAGGTACTGATGAATGCAGGTGGGTGCCAGGACCCCATCTGTTCTTTTGTATCCCACCCCCAATTCTTCCCACCACCATGCATTTTTAATGCCTCAAGGCTCACTCTCCCACACGTCTCTTGGACCCATGCTACCTTGCATCCCAGGGTTGATGGGTATGGCCCATATGTCTCTGGCCCCAGGTGCCTGATCTCAGAAGCCATTGCCACTGATATTAATGGATTGCAGATCTGCCACCTGCATGACATTGATGCCACTGTTGGCAAGACGGGCAATACCCTCTGGACAAATGGCCTCCATGGCTACCATGTTGGTGGTAATAAGGGCGGAAGGGGTGGCAGTACCACTGCCTTCTGAACCTGCCCCACTGTCCAGGGGCAAAGTGCCCACACTCAGGGCTACACCCGGGCCTCCCTTCTTATTCTGGTGGGTCTTGATATGCTTTGACAGGTGGTCACTCCTCATGAAGCGCTTGGGACACTCAGGGCAGGCAAATTTCTTCTCACCTAGGTAAAGGAAGAGTAAGAAGATGAGAAAAATCACATCTTAGGAAGTAGGGGTACCTTGTTTAGTTCATTCCCTTCTAACTATGTAAGGCAGAATAAGGTTAATCTTAAAAGGTGATTAAAAACAAGAAAATTCTGGTGATTATCTTTTGTCTTTTTGGGGAACAAAAAAAGTAAAGATTAGAGAGTCCTCAGAAAAGAAGTATAGCAGAAAAGTAATATAGGACCTTCAGAACCCTTATTTCTTAAGGGTTTTCAGATTAACTCCAATGCCATTTATGATCCATACATTCAATTTCAAACATAAGTTGCTCAGAAATTTTAGTTACTTCCGAGGTATATTTTGTCTTTTCATTCTGGTCCATTACTACCTCTCCCTTCCCCAGTTCCTGCTCACCTGTGTGTGTGCGTTTGTGCCTCTGTAACTCATCTGAACGTGTAAAGCGTTTCCCACAGAATGACCAGGTACACATGAAAGGCCTCTCGCCTGTATGCCAGCGCAAGTGTGCCCGCAGGTGCGAGGTCTTGCCATATACTTTGCCACAGCCTTGCATGTGACAAATGTGCTGTTTCTTCTTGCCAGGATCCCCAGAGCCCCTGGAAGTGAAAACACAATTGTTCTTTGTTCATTTTAGAGACAAAATTAAAGAGTCATACAGTATCCATAGTAATTACTGGACCCACTCAAAACTAATCCAAGTTTTTAATTAAAAAAAAAAAAAAGGAATCTGCCTGTCAACTCAGGAGACATAGATTCGATACCCATTCCAGGAAGATCCCACATGCCACAGAGCAACTAAGTCCATGTGCCACAACTACTGAGTCTGTGCTCTAGAACCCATGAGTTGCAAGTATTGAAGCCTGTGGGCCCTAGAGCCTGTGCTCTGCAACAAGAGAAGCCACTGCAATGAGAAACCGGTGCACCACAACAAAGCACAGCCCCCAATCACAACAAAAGAAAGCCCACAGAGCAACACAGACCTAGTGGAGCTATAAATAAATAAACATCAAAATGTGCACTTAGATATGTGCAGTTTATAAAAAGAAAAAAGACTTCTCAACACACACACACAAATGTCTTCCATTTTATTTTTTTAAATTTGTTTATGGCATGCGGGCTCTTATTCCCTGGATCAGGGACCAAACATGTGCCCCTGCAGTGAAGTGCAGAGTCTTAACTACTGGACCACCAGGGAATTCTCAAAAGCCTTCACTTTTAGTATCAACAGCTAAATCTTTACAGTCAGTTCTGATGTGTGATGTCATTTTCAAGGTGACTTGTGAAATCTATGAGGCATTTTCCTGTATTTTTCTGGATGTTAAGTTTCAATACATGCATTTTCCATGGGAACCACTGTGAATATGGTGATGTGGTGATATTTTTGACTGGGAACTTATTTAGTGAACAAAGGGTCTCTCCATTAAGCACTTGGTGGAGAACTTTAAAACATAATATTTTACAACTACAAAGCTTTCCTTCTCCAAAATAAAAGTCAAGAGCCAAAAGGTAAAGATTAAAAGCTGAAAAGATAGAGTAATATGAGAGACATCAGTGGAAGAAGATGGGATAGAGAAAAGTTAAAAGAGGTGAAATAAGGACCATAACTAATTCAAGGTATGTTAAAAAAAAAAACAAACAAAACATATTCCCTATATGGAGCAAATCCTAAGCTCCTCTCAGGAAATCAGTTCTGAAATGTTTTTGCCAAACCAATTTGTACCATGTGTAATCCATTAGTGGGCAGTATGGAGATTTCCAAAAGAGATTTGCCTTGGGTTTTAACAGCACACATTAGCAGAGGAGCAGGAAAAAAAACATAACAGAAATGAAATCACACTCAGGTGGAAATCACAGAATTTCTTTCAAAAACTTAAATCCACTTGAAGCTTTGTGAGAGGGAAACTCCATTGTACTCAAGAGCTTTTTTTCCCCCTTTTAATTAATTTTGGGGGGCTGCTATGCAGCATGTAGGATCTTAGTTCCCCGACCAGGAATCGAACCCATGCTCCCTACAATGTAAGTACGGAATCTCAAACCACTGGACCATCTGGGAAGTCCATGTACTCAACTGTTTTTGATTCAGGTTTTTCCCATAATGTAGGATAACCTACAAAGAATTCAAGTTGTTTTTTGTTTTGGTACATTTCTTATTTTTGTGCTTATTTTTTTCTTAAGTTCTTTTAAAAAAAAATTCAATTTCTTTACTTTTGGTTGTGCTGGCTCTTCATTGCTGTGCAGAGGTTCTCTAGCCGCAATGGGCGGGGCCTGCTCCCTAGCTGCAGTGGTTTTTCTTGTTGCAGGGCATGGGGCTCAAGGGCACAGGCTCAATAGTGTGGCACCCGAGCTGAGTTGCTCTGCGGCATGTGGGATCAGCCCAGATCAGGGATTGAACCTATGTCTCCTGCATTGGCTGGCAGATCCTTTACCACTGAGCCACCAGGGAAACTCTGTGCTTATTATGACTATTTTTTTTAGTATTTATTTATTCAGCCATGTCAGGTCTTAGCTGCAGCATGTAGGATCTTTCACTGTGACCCATGGACTCTCTAGTTGTAGTGTGTAAGCGTAGTTGCTCTGCAGCACATGGGACCTCAGTTACCTGACCAGGAATCAAGCTGAGTCCCCAGCACTGCAGGGCAGATTCTTAACCACTGGATCAACAGTGAAATCCCCTGTGATTATTTTTAATGGGGCAAAACTTTAACAGACTTTTTTCAAAGGCAATTAAAAACCTATATGACTTTCTATTCTCTTTCAAAGTCAGTGACTTGAAGAAAAAGGAAATAACCTGGAGCTCTTCAGAGATAATATTGTATAGCCAGTATACTAATGTGAAAATCGATCAGAATTCTGTTTTGTAGGAGATATTAGATTATTTGATTGAAATATTTTCTACCCAGAATAAGTAGTTTACCTATTTTGAGGGGGAAAAAAAAGAAACTCATGATTTTCACACAGTCACTGTAAAATAATCATTACCATAGGTATGTTTCTGTTTCTTTGCCAAGCTGTTTTATAAGCTATCTTGTTAAAGCCATCTCACCAATAGAATTTTTTTAAAGAGTAAAAAAAAAAAATCTCAAAACAGACATAAAGTAACAATCATTTGACCATTTGGCTCCATCTGACTTCCTTGTCTCTAACAGAAAGCAGGCATCTCTGAAGGTCCAAGGTCTAAGAGTTGATGAAAAGGCACAGAGTTGGAACCAAGACCACATATGACCTAACCAAATGTACTATACTATCTCTGATCCCTGTGTAACCCTGCCAAGTCTTAAAGTTAAAAGAAAAAAAACAAAAAAAACCCACTTATATTTACCTCCTAATCTATTAATTCTTCATCTTTACACTCTTAAAGAGACAGGCTGAATCAACTTACCTTCCTTCACTATCTTTACAGTAGGGGCAGGTGCATGCTTCCCGCCGGGTCCTCCGACCAGCTTGGGGTTGGGGATCTGGGCTGTTCTCTCCTTCCTCTCCACCTGTTGGGTCATCATGTATTCCATCACCACCAGCCCCATGGAGGCCAAGTTGAGCTCCATGATCACCTGAAATTAAGAGAGTACAAGGGTCAAGGTGGGAAGGTCATCATAGTCGCAGTTATCTCAGTGACACGTGACTTTTACAGCACCATTTCTTCAAAACTTTGAAGTCACCTTCACTGATATTGCCTATACTTGAAATCTCAAAAATCAGCACTGCAGAGACAAAGAAACAATAAGTATATGAAAACATGCTCATTCTCAAATTTTAAAACACAATTCTATTTGACTTTTATGATTGTTCTAACCTACTGGCTTACAAAAGTTAAAACTCTAACAATGCACAGCACCGGCAAAGATATAGGGCTTCCCAGATGGCTCAGTGACAGGTGGTGATAAATTAGTGCAACCTTTTTTTTTGGGGGGGGGGGTGGGGGTGGGGTGGTGCACCTGAACTGTGCAGCTTGAGGGATCTTAGTTTCCCAACCAAGGACCGCACTTGCACTCTTGGCAGTGAAAGCGCAGAGTCCTAAGCACTGGACTGCCAGGGAGCTCCCTGTATGATCTTTTTGAAGGCCAATTTGGCAATATCATTAAAAATTTAAGTGTGTATCTTCAAAGAGATTTCACTTTCAATCACAATGTCCTATGGATACATTCATGAGAACACAAACATACGTGACAGTAAAGCTTTCTGTAGCCTTATAACAAAAAACTGGAAAAAATAAAAATGTACACCACTGCTGAACTGGTTAAGTAAATTACAATAAACTTATATGGACTACTATATATGCATTAAAAATGAGATAAAGTTACATACTGCTATAGAAAGAGGTTACAACAAATCTCTTACTCATTCCCAGAGCTAAAGTATTATGGAACCAACAAAATGGAAGTGACTAAAAATAACTCTACGGGACTCTAAACTAGAAACTATTCAAAACCAGAAAGGGGAAACTTCCTGAAATGAGCAAAAAATTGTTCTGAATATTCAGCAGGAAACAGTACATGCACATTATAAATTTTGACACACAGAGAAAACGAAAAGAGCGAGGTCAAAGGTAATTCTTTTTCTTTTTGGCCATGTGGAGCAGCATGTGGGATCTTAGTTCCCTGGCCAGGGATCGAACCCAAGCCCCTGCAGCAGAAATATAGAGTCTTGACCACTAGACTACCAGGAAAGTCTTCAAAGTTAATTTTGTGTAGCTAGCTGTATACATGCCAGGAAGGTTTTGGGTTGGGATTAGATGCTTTTCAGAATGCTACAAAAAAGAAGAAAACACCATACATACATTCTGTTACTTGATGTCGTTTCCTTTTAAAGATAAATTTGTCTTAAATTCACTATAATTTCTCTCCTGGTAAAATTAAAATAGATAAATTCTACAAAGTTCCAGGACAGTGTTTTTCAAGCTTCTCAAACTTGCAACACACATTAAAAATATATATGACAATGTAATCTAGTACATATATCTATATAACTGAAACAACAGTTTCACAAAGTGTCTATCCTTATGCTAAGCAGTGTATTCTGAAATTTTCTAGACTCTATTTTTTTTCCCCTTAGTGCTAGTCATGACCCAGTATATTGATTTTATGAGTTACTAATGGGTCACATTTGACATTTTCAAACACTGCTCTATACCAATAGACAGAAGCAACGGTTTAAAGGAAAAGCTAACATTCTTCTCCAGCTTTCAAATCTACTATCAATAAGCATTCACCCATGAAAGTTTTGTAAATAAGTTAAAGACTCTATATCCATACTTAAGATTCTAATAGTAGGAAAGTGTTGAACTGGCCTGCTTTATCTATTTTATAAAGAAGGAAACTAAATAAATGGGGTAGAAACTAAATAAATAAACATCTAGAAACCTAGGCTCTTGACTTCTGTACCTCATTTCAACTCTTCTCAGCTAATCAACATAATTCTGAGCCGCAGTACCTAATGAGCAGTCCTCCCTGGGCTTTGCTTCTCACTCTACCCCTTCTTAGCACCAGCTTATCATATTAAAATAACTTTAATTTGAATATTCTGAGACTTCCATGATACTGGCAGAATGAAAACTGGGAAGTACTGGAGCACAGGTTAAAAACCAGTTTAGAAGTAAGACAGACCACAGATATGAGTCCCTGCACTACGATTAGCTTTTTTGGTAATGATCAAAAAACTTCTCTAGTTATCAATTTCCCCATCAGTAAAATTGGGATGAAATACTATCAATCTCATAAAGTTACTGTGAAAAACAAATATGGAAGGTGCTGAGCACAACATAGGAAACACTGTGATGTCACACAGCAAACATTCAATAGACTGCATCTATTACTATTAGGAAAATACCTTGTGGAAAAAACACAGAAATCATAGAACAAGATACACCAATATTTTCATTCTGCTTAAAAATTATGTGCGGCCAAGTGGAAACTCCCCCTAGTGGGGATGGAGAATTTATCCTTTAAAATAAGCCCTCATAGCTCAGAAGATTAGGATGCTAGTTAGTATTGCCAATGGTTACCTACCAAAAATTACCTCCAGAAGAGAAATTTATAAAACTATAGATGCAACTATTATAGGTCTTTAGAAACAAGAAAAAATTGTGGTGCATATAAGCAAATCATCTTCTTTGATCTATTTTTCAAGCTAAAACCAACTCCATTCAAATTTGAGAAGCAACTTATCAATCCTCAAAGTTTTCCCTTGCCCCAACCAACTCAAAAGAAGCAAACCTTTCTCCATTTTATTGAAACATAAGAATAATATACTTAGATATCAGAACTACTAAAACTACATCTCTAATCCTCTTTCAATTCTTACAAAATGGACAGTCAAAAATTCATATCCTCCTGATCCCCACAATGATTTCAAATTTTTTCAAACTAAGAAAACTGAGAATGGGGTTAGATAGAGTGAACAATTTTTAATTTCAATTAACAAAAAGAAGGGATAAAACATCAACAGAATATCAACATCAGACCAGAATCTGTTTCCTGCCTCTTTTAATAACAGTTTTAGAAAAAGAACAGTTTTATCTTAAAATGTGGTACTGGTTAGGCAATGAAATAAATTAAAGATTTTCCTTTCCATGATTAAAATAACTAGTAAACCAAAGACACAGCTTAATGACAGTCTTGCCCAACTCAGCGGTTGCCTCGAGCATCAGTTTCTGAAACAGCCATGGCAGTTACTCACTTTTTTAGTTTCCTCAAAGTGAAAAAGTGTGCTGAAGTTATGAACTTTCAAGACCACCACATGGCAAGTCAAACACCCTATTCTCTGAGGAAAAAACCTTGGGTAATACTAAAATAAGATGAAATGAAAACCTTCTCAATAATTTCCAAAAGGGTGGTTCCCATACACTTCCTTATTTATCTGCTTTCTGAAATGACTTTGGGAACATTGTGTTCTTTAATTCGTTAAGTATTAATACAGTAAGACTAAACTTTACAACTATACCTATATTAAGCACACACTGGGTTTTCTCAATGTCTCCTTTTACACAACAGATTTAACTCAAAGAATAATATCTCAGACCACAAAGGGTTTGTGTGTTTTCAGCTACATTGAAACAGAATACTGGTAACAATACATGAAGAACAAGGTATCCAGAATATGGCTCCAAATCAAGAAATAAAAACTTCCATAGTGTGGGATTTCCCTGGTGGTACAGTATATAGGAATCCATTTGCCAGTGTAGGGTACATGGATTCGATTCCTAGTCTGGAAAGACCCCACGTGCTACAGAGCAACTAAGCCCGTGTGCCGCAACTACTGAGCCTGCGTGCTGCATGTACAGAAGCCCGAGCACCGCAATAAACAGCAGCCCCACTCGACGCAGCTGGAGAAAGCCTGAATGCAGCAACAAAGACCTAGTGCAGCCAAAAATAAATAAATGGAAATTGTTTAAAAAGAATAAAGAATGGGCACCAGAAATTTAATTTCCTTCTGTTCCAGAATGCAAACCCTTGCTGATTCATCAGTAAGTTATGCACTATAAAAATTCACATATATATATATCTTGTTTCTAAACTTACTTAATTACACATTAAATATTTCCTGTTATTTAATCATCATAGCATATTTTATACCCATAGACATGTATAAATGATAGTTTATAGGGTTTCCTACATACAAACTTCGCTAAGACCTTATACCTACAGTGCCATGTGGACTTCCTAATGGCAATCTGTAGAAATGTTTATCAATTACTTACTGTCTACTGATCCAGGTACTACACTAAGCTCTGAAGATTCAAAGGAATAGTTTTCACTGTGGAAGAGCTTGTAGTTCACTAGAGAAGAGAGAAACAGATAATTTCAAAACAACAATATAAACCTTGTACTAAAAGCCATTCAAAGATTTTCCAGAACTGAAAAGGGTAATTTCTCCAGTCTAGAATTTCAGAGAAGACTTGTTTCCTAAAGGAACCAAGATTTGGGCCAAACTTCAAACAATGCATAGGAGTTAGCCAAGTGAAGAATGTTGGCAAAGGAAGGGTAGTTCCAGGCAAAAGGAAGACTACGAGCAGCATAAAGGAAAGTAGTGGAGTGTGGGATGATGGTGGAGTAGAGCAAGGATGAAGGTGAAGAGATGAACTTCAAAACAGGTGATATTATTAGATGCAAGACAGATATTTAAATGACTGATTTTTTTTTAAAGGTGATGGTAGAGTATGGATAGATAAGCACTTTGATACATCAGCCAGGGAAACAGCATGTTTCCCATGTGTGTAGGTCACATTGGCAATATAGGGCATGTCTTTAAGATGTGACTAATATTTAACCCAACAAATAAGGACGTATGCCAGATACTACATTAAGCTCTGGAGAGAGTTAGATATAATCCTGGCCATTGTTCAGCTTTCCAGCTTCATTATCTCACTTGGAAAGATACAAAATGAAACCAACAAGTATAATATCTGTCTTATAATTTGTATAATAAAGTGAAATATTATATTAATATTTATAATATAATAATATATTATATATAATATTATAATATATAATTATAATATATTAATATTATATTAATAGAAATAATTATTTCTATTAAGAGAAATATTAGAGTT